AACACTTCTGAAAAGTGACTGACGTGTGATGCGACGTGCTGAAACTGCAATGGGAAGGGATGCGATTTCCATTTTCCTCTGGGGTCAAGCATCTGATCTAAAGTAATGGTCTTACACTGACAAGAAGATACAACGCTAACAATTAAAAGAATTCAATTACAACTGCTTCTGAATGAAAGAAAATCAATTAAATCTGTTTCGGAACAACTCGCCGTCGCTTTAAGTCAAGTACAGTGCCTTACAAAGAGCGAACCAAAAGCAGCAGAGTCAAGAAATAAACACTGAGTGTTTGTAAAAAATAACTATGTGTTCAACAGACAAAAGGCTCAAGTCAACAACACAATGTCTTCCTTGACTCGTCTGATTTTGATACAGCAAATTCGATGATGTAATCCCTATTTAGGAACTTCTCTCTGAAGAATGTTCAGTGTGGCTCTCAAAGATGTTTTTTTTTTTAAAAACAGGTCAGCGTAGCCCCATGTTTCAGGTCATCGTTGAGCTCGAGGGGAGAGTAAGTGGGTCAAGAAAGAAGGTAGGTAAGAGACAGCGAGGGTATGACCAGAACGTCGGACCGAGAAAGGAAAGTAAAAAGAGTACAAAGGGATTTATTATTGTCCTGTTGATGCAGTTGACTATGATACAGGCTGACTTGGAGAGCTAAGGGTAGGACAATGCAGTGCGGGACAAGGCCGGAGGGAGGCGGCTTGGTCAGAGAGTTTTGGGCTGTTATTGTGACGAACTGTTTGGGGAAATGGGGACGACAGGGAGACAGGCAAACTGCAGCTGGCAGCAGAGGAGAAAAAGGGGGGGGGATGATGGTTTTTTTTGGTTCAGAAGCGGGCGTGGTTGTGACCCTGGCCTCCCTCTCTGCCGTGGTGGCCTCCCTCTCTGTGGCTGTGCCTCTTGTGCTTTCTGCGCTCTCTCCTGGTCTTGTGGTGGTGGCGCCGGTAACGGTGAGCTCGCCGGGCTGGAGGAGCAACCAAAGTGGAAGAGAGAAGTACGTATTAAAGGAGTAATTCAGTATGTAATGAGATGAAAGTGAAGGGTAGAAAACTGATGCAAGCGGGAGATGAATCACTGACAAGCATCAGAGGTTTCTGAAACCAGGTAAGATGCGAGAGAACGGATCAAAACGCAGGAAGGTCAAAATGTGCAGATGGTTTAACTGTTTCCTGCACACTGAGGGAATCTGTTTTATCTCTCATTGAGTAGACTGGGCGCCTTTAGCAAGGGCACAATGAGCTAGCCACCCACTCACTGCCTCGGTATAAGCTTGTTCCTGGTGTGTACTGCCAAATTAGATTGCTCCGTCTCTTTCTGGGTTTGCCAACAAAGAAATGTCGTCTGCAACGAATGATAACAACATCATAACTCTGGGCCATAAAAACAACTCTGTCCAAAGATAAAGAGTCATAAGCAAAGGAATCTTTATCGCTTTGAACAGAAGTTACATTATTTCAGTATTTCATCATTACTGTCACACTGCGAGCAAAGCGAAGTGAAATACAAGGCTCAGTTTGTTGAATATTTCATACAGATCAACCGGCCTATGAGGAAGAGAAAATGATGGCGAAAAGTTATGACATCAATTCGGTATATTCTGTCGCGGTTGGTGTGAGCAGTTTAAAAATCGATAAAAGTAAAGTTTATTTTAAAGAAGATAAGGTATTCAGTGAAAGAAACTGATTTTCTGTGCTGTTTTAGGAATACCCGGCAGCAAGTGCGATATCATCACTGTGCAGGATTATTTTGTGCAGATGTTTTACGTGTGCAAAACAACAGTACTGTGGAAAAGTTTTGAGCCACTTGAGCCGTTTTAAAGTTGTAGCTGTAATTTTCTTAATGAACGTCCACCAAAGATTTTCTTTAGATATTGACTGTATTTTCTTTCATTTTCAGTATTGTCTTGTACCTGACCCTTTTTAGAGGACTGCGCTTTTGTTTATCAAACCGCTTAACACTGACCTATTAATCATTCAAGCAGAAAAAGACACTTAACTCAAGGGATGAATCTGTGATGTGTCTACACACAACACGCAACTTAGCAAAGATCCAATTTTAAATTACAATTTCAGACACCCTTTGTTACAAGCGGCATGTAACCTGTCCCTACTTCTTTAGTTTAATCTACATAAAATGCCAAAAATAAAAATTCAAGTTTTGTTTTGATTTGACCAACAAAGTGACTTTCAAAGAGTTTTAGCTAGAAAGCTGTCAGTATATTCTTAAAAAGTTGAGGAAATTAAACAAGTGGAGTACAAAGAAAAACTCTCACGTCTAAAAATTGTGAAACAATAGTATATGAAGGCCAGGTCCTTAAGAAATAGGAAGAATCCAGCAAAGACCTGATACAGGACCTGAAAAATGCACCGTGCCCTTTAACTGACTCGTCTACTGTTTACTGAAGCCTCATTAGAAATGGTCTCAACTGAAGGGTGGCTGTCAAGAAGTCTTGACAAGAAGAAACGACAAACTGGTATTTCAGCCAGTTGTGTTGGAGATCTTGTCAAAATTGGTGGAATTATGAACAGGAAAAGTACCCTGAGTTCCCAAACACACTTCCAATTCAGTAAAAATATATGTGGGCTGAAAAACACATAATGGAAACCTTGAATTGGCTTCCCCAGATTATTAGTGAAGCAGTGTGGGATCAACTCGACAGGGGACGGGAAAAAAAGCATCCAACATCCAAAAAGGAGCTTTAAATGTCCTTCAAGAATCCTGGAGAGTTATTGCTATTTAAAGAAATTACAAGAAAGCTGGCTAATAGAGTTCAGGCTGTGTTGAGGAATAAAGGTGGTTACACCAAATATTGACTCAAACACATTAAAACTGCATAACCGCTATTTTTGCATCATATACTGCGTTTCCTGTATTTGTTTGCAGATCAGTAAATCACTGGACCTTTCTTTCTTTCTTGCACGTGTGTTGATTTACATGAAGCTTCAACCTGTTAGAATTAGTTTTGAAAAAGTCAACAAAGGAAAAGTGGGAAAAAAACTACCTCGAGCACAAAACACTTCAAAGGACACCCTGCGACTTCTAAGCAAGCCCAAGGGACTAAAAACTGCAATTATCAATAATGAGAGCGAGGATGGAAAGCCCGAGAATACACAAAGTGACAGCAGCTCCTGGGGGCTGTTGATGTTTGGGGTTCAGTCTTTTTTGGTGTGCATGCTAAAAATATTAATAATGATTAAAAAAAAAACAAAACAGAAATGTGAAAATGACCTAAAAATATTCTGTAAGTCTTGCTGTTTACCAAGCAGCCATATTCTCTCTGTTAACACTCACATTTTATGCAGATGATTTTAGGTCGGTCCCACTTGCCGTTAGCACGACACTTAGCAGTGGGCACGTGCCGCTGCAGGAAACCATCGGCGCACTGGTAACGCGCTACTGAGTGGATGTCATAGTGGGTACGCTTCCGACCAATCAGGAAGGCGTTATCCACAGTTGGAGGGGCCCCGCAAAGCACTGTAGAGACAGAGAAATACAGAATATTAAAGAGGTTAGTTAGTTTTATTGTAATTACTTACAATTCTTGCTGTGTCATTAGTATTTATTAATCAAATAAGGTTCTTAAAAGGTTCTTATCATTGTTTTGCTTGTTATTCTCTGACATGATCAGCTCAAGTGATCCCTATGAGCAACAATCTCAGGCTTCAGAGTCCTCCGAACGTTCGGTTTCAGGCTATTTTTATTCCCTTGGCTCTGTATGACACCAGTGAGAAGAGATATCCTTAATACGTTCCTCTTAGGCACACAGCTCTGAGTGGGATCACAGAAACCCCCTACCTGCGATTCAATCCTTATTTTTAAGAGGAAGTTCAATCAAAAGAAAGTTGCCTCAAACGGAGGGAAAAGAAATGAAAACATTTTATTTTATTTGTTCATTCGGAACAGTGAAGCAGTAGAGACGAAGAACATGGAGCCGGAATTGACCATAATAAGTCGTCTTTAAACAGTAATGACTTTAACCTGGATTCACCCCATTAGTGTGCTTCACTTAAACATTTCAGGGTTCCAAGTGGTGTTTACATTTAGATTTTACGGACACATCCCACGCACGGCGGGACTATGACTTGGTTAAAACATTTTTTGAAAACCGCTTCAATCTGTGGATTTAGCATCTGCAGGACAGGGTGTCTGTCAGCGAGTGAGTAGGTGGGATTCAAAGTAACACAGCATTTTAGACACATAAAAGAGAGGAGGCAGAATCAGAAAATTGTTTACTCAAGCTGAGACAGACAGAGAACTGACACTCTGGTCAGAGACTGACAGGATGGACAAGCCTCAGGGAGGCACTCAAACAACTTCACCAGTTTTTTTTTTTAGCTCTCCCGTCGGGGTGTCAGTCTGCAGTGGTCGGGGCTGACTTCAGTTCTATCTTTCAACACAATGCGCAACAAAATAATGGAAAAACGATGGTTAGGTTTTAGTCATTAACTCCATCTGATCCATTATGTAAATTATTAAATTAACTAGATAAAATATAGACAAGCTGTAGTTTTAAACTTTTCCATTTACCACTGGGGGAACTTAATAATTTCTATGACAACTAATGAAAAAAAAAGTTAAATATAAACTACAGTGCAGCACTATTTCGAACCCCCAACTGATATTACTGGTACTATCAGTCCCCACTATGTCAACCTGCCTTCGTCCCGGAGTTGAAACCCAGCTTGAGGTCCTTTCAGACAGGAAACTTAAAGTCAGCTTTGATGGCCCCTGACTTCATCCTTAGATGCCATTTGCACAGTTCAGCAACAAACCAGTCAGGAGAGGACTTAATCAGCAATCAGAAAATGTTTACAGTCCTTAATTCCCTTGTCTGTGTCCTAATACCTCTTAAATTCTTAATAAGGGAAAGCAATGCCATTAACTGTGATGAAGGGTTTAACGTCACATTTACAGTTTAATACACTGCGGATGGAAGGGGCAATAAGCACTTCCCCCTCACTTGAGACTATTGCTGTCTTGACACAAATGAAAGGCTAAAAGGTAGCTTTCCATTAGCCGTCACCTATGTACGCTGTTGAAAGATTTCTCAAAGTGCAGACAAGCTAAGTGAGATTGCACTGAAGTAGGTATAAAATAAAATGTCAAAAAACTCAGAAAAGGGAAATGGAGCTGGAAAAGGTGTTTTTTATAGTGAAGAGTAGAGGGCTGCGAGCGAAAGGCAGCTGGGTCTTAGAAAAGCCCATCAAAAAAACCTATAAAAAACACCAAAAGCACCTGTTCAGTGTTTCAGGACGTGTGATTGGTAAAAAACTCATCTTTGCTTGCATGACAATGAATCATTTTAGAAACTTCTTCATAGTAAAATCCACATTTGAAGCATTGTTTGTCATTGCAACATCTAAAATACGCTTAGTGTCTTCACTAAATATGGATAAATGTAAAAACTGCCACCTGACTGGTTGGTCTGACGGCTCATACAACTACGTAGCATTAATTCAAGGTTAGGATGAGTAACCTTTACTATCAAATGCAGGTTTCCTCCCAAATAATATCACTGCGGAAGCCTATTAATTATTAATTAGCCTATCAACATTACTCGTGGGTGTAAATAATTAAAAGCTGCAGTGATTTTGGCTCTTTAACTTTGCATTTCCATTAAAATAATGTCATGTTTTTGCTGTATTTTTGAAATTACAGATAAAACAGAATGAAAATTATTTACTTTTTAAATGATTCTTATTACAGATAAAACAGAACAGCTGTGAGATGAAGGGGGAAAAAAATCTTTATGTAGAGATCGCTTTGCATCCCTTGAGTGCTGTTCGTGCAAGTATATCAAATTTAGAGGAGGCTACTTTGATTATAAATAGAACATAAAGAAGCCTTTTAGCTTTAAAATAGTTCAAATAGAAATAAACTATAATATATCAAATAAACAGATCTCTGACCTGTGTTGATCATGTTTTTAACAGCATTTGCAATCAAAGCAAACAAATCTCTTCAATAAGCGTTACATTCTTTATTTCCCCTTATCAGCATGAATAAAACTATATGTAAAATCACCATTATTCATATTCATGTTTATCTATAAAAGAGCCGGATGTGGTCCAGAGCCACAGGTTCGAGATCCCTGTTCTAAGTCAACACTGGAAGTTAAGAAGAAGTTACGCAGTATATCTGCATGCGTGTTGTGAAAATATCTATAGTTATTTTCTTAGCCGATTTTCTTGTGTTGCAGGGGGGCAGTCAGTGTGAGTCATGGGGAAAGCTGCAAACAGCTGCTGGGTTCCTCTAGTTGGTTCCTTTATGGCCTCAACACATCCGCACACCTACTGGCAATCATGTGAAAACAAATCAGAGAGATGTGCAAATGTGTGTGTTTTCTCTGCACAACACTATGGGAGTACGTCTCACACAGAGTTATGTTCAAACTCAGTTTTGTTTATTAAGAAAGTCTTAATAAACACTGACAGCTGCTCAGATCAACTGAGCTAATGGTTTTGTTTTGTTGTTCACTAAACAGAAATACACCACAGGTAACAAATCTCAGTCAAAGTCCACTTGGATTTACAGCCTGTGGCCTCGGAGAAGGCATTTGACTGCGTCCTTCAGGGTGTCCTGTGTGGGGGG